CCCCCCCCCCCCCCCCCCCCCCCGCCTGCCTTGTTGTTGTGTGCATTGGTGTGGACAGCTGTCCTGTGGATGTCTAGCCTGCATTACGTCTGCATGCAGGACACCTCTGTGCAGAGGGTAGGGGTGCCGGTGATGTCCCCTAGTGTTTGTTGCTGATGAGGGGCAGCAGTGAGGGACATGGCCTTCTCCCATGCTTCTCCAATCCAGGGATGCTAAGGGTTGCGTCATGTGGAATCTTCATCCCTGCACAGGCAGGGCCCTCTGCATCCTGAAGTTGGAGGTGAGGTTTGAAGCAAATGGAGTGACGTGCTATGATTTCAAGGAGGGCTGGAGTGGTGAAAGCAGTCGGATAGTTCCTTGCCTAGAATAATACCAATGAGAAAGCAAAGATGGAAAATATTCTGTGGAAACAGAAGTGATACTTGGATATCTGATTTCCACATAAAAGAAACCCAGACAGACACCTTTAGCCTCACTGAAAGCATTCTGGAATTGGTTAACAGTAGGCCCAAATGAACTCGTCAAGCTTTTTCTGGGTTGTAGTTACAATACAAAGGGAAAATGAGCCAGATGGAAATGTTCTGTTGTTAGTTAGGCTGTGGAAAACGAGGTGAAAAGGCACCTGGGGAATAGTCTGAACCCAGGTAGGCAGGCAGGTCGAGGAGGTGTTTGTGTGACTGCTTTCCCTCCTGCAACCCAGCCTGTGGCCCCGGTGTGTGGCCCTGCAGGTCCGGGCAGGGCACCGGGAGAGAAGGGCTTGCGTCTCCAAAATGGAGTCAATGGCTCTTCTCCTTTGACGTCACAGGAAACACGAAGTCACAGAAGTCCTTCCCGCAAAGAAAACATGAATCTCTGTGTGCGCTGGGAACCTTCTGCATGGCTGGCATGCATTCGAAAACAAAGGACTGGGTTTTGGCTATGCCGGGACCGTGCATGTGGGTTTTACTCGGCATAGTTGAGAGCAACGCTGCCCGCTTACCTCAGCAGAGGTGGTATTGCAGTGACTGCCCATGTCTTGACTTTCCTTACTCAGTTTTGATGTTAGAGCAAAAGTCAGGGCACTTTTTATGTTAATTATACTGAAGAACTGGTATTGGGTAAGAAATTCAAATATTGCAAATGAGTTTCTTTCTATGGTTGGTATTTTTCCATCTTTGGGGGAAATAATTCGATGTCACCATGAGTGTCTGGCAAATTCATCAGCTGTTTAGGCAGCATTTGATTTTGACCTATGGTTGCTCTATAAAGGCACATACCCTTTTCTTTTGGCTAAGAACTAGTGAAGTCTATGGGAAGTGACATCATTATTATGGTAAATAACAACCTGGATGTATTTTATGCTATTTTAATAATTAATAAATGCATGGCTACCAGTTATGAAAAGAAATGAGTTGCATTTTAACAAACATTTTTCATCTTTTTTTGTGAAAAAACGTGGTATCAGAATTTTAAAAAAAGAAAATCTATGCTATGGAGGGCCAATACTACCAGTAACACATAATTCCTACATTCCCCAGATACTAGGATTCTACAGAGAATATTTTGCAAGTCAGAATAGGCTACAGTAAGTACCTATATCTGTATTATTCAGAGTATCATAATTTTCCAATGATTTTTTGTACAAATTGGGTTTTTTTTTTTAGAGCTTAAAAATATCTAAAGATTTTGTCTGAGAATATGTAACTGCAGAAACCATTAAGGGTGTGAACACTCAACTACCATATTATTGTGAATGTATTTCGTTGGGCCCTGGGAGACATGGCGCATAGCACATGTCTACATATATGTGGTATGTGTATATGGTATATGGCTACATGTCTGTGTGACACTTTGACCGTGGAAGATGGGGAGGCGCAGTGGATACCAGTGTTTGAGTGACACCTGGTCGTGACACATGATCCCTTGCTCGTGGTTAAGAAACTGGATCTTCTCTACTTCTCAAACTCAATACCATCCCTGTTGTTTTCCCCTTTGGGTCTCTAAGCCAAGTTCGACACTAAAGAACAGAGAAAAGTATACACATCAGCCCTGCTGACTTTGATGATCAGAGGGGACTTCTTTCAAGTTCCAATAATCTAGAAGGCTAATGTGTTTGTCCATTTCAACTGTTGAAAGTACATTATAGCATGGATTAAATTAAGGTAATTGGGAATTAAGGGTCAGTGGTAGTCACGGATTCTAAGACCGCCTGTCAGAAGGTTGGTTTGCTCTAAAGTTTTAAAAGCTGGTAAGCAATCAGGCTGCCTGAAGAAGAGTGTGGTGGAGACTTTGAGCATCAGAACAAAAACGCATCGGTCCTTTTCATGTTCTTATCCACTACCAATCTCTGCCAGCATGCATGGGGTCCCCAGATGCGGTCGGTGGGTGGTCATTTCCAGTCCCGTGCTGATATTTCCTGGAGGTTGTGTTGTAATGGCACCTGTCATGTTAATTGTTTCTCTGTAGGAGATTCCCTGTGGGGATGAAGTAAGATTGTACAGGGTTCACTGTGCACACACAGGAATGATTTTGGTTTTCTCCCTGACCTTGATAGATCCATCTTATTTA